TTTATGAGCCATGCAGTCTCTGTGCAACTACTCAACTCTGCCCTTGTAGCATGTATGATGCCATAGAATGTAAAGGAAGGAGCCTGGCTGTGTTCCAATAAATCTTTATTCTGCAAAAACAGGCAGTAGTCTTGATTTGGCCCAAGGGTCATACTTTGCCAAGCCTGGTTTGATTTCATATAGTTGAAGCTGAGATAATTGATTTGAAACGTTATTTTCTAGTATAGACCTTTAGTACTATAAATTTCCCCATAAGAACTGATTTAGTGGCATCTTATACATTTTGGTATGTTGTATTTTTCTTTTCATTCAGTTTAAAATACTTTCTAATTTGCCTTCTCTGATCTTTGGGTTTTGTAGAAGTTTGTTATTTAGTTTCCAGAGATCTCTCTTATTGATTTCTAATTTAATTCCTCTGTGGTCAGAAAACACTTTGTATAACCTAAATCCTTTTAAATTTATTGACTTGTTTTATGGCCTAGAATATGGTCTATTTTGATAAATGTTCTCTGTGCACTTAAAAGGAACATGTACTCTGGGGCTGGCCCCTTGGCTTGGTGGTTAAGTTTGGCGCACTCCACATTGGCAGCCTGGGTTCGTGTGCTTGGATCCTAGGTGCCAGCCTAAACTGCTCATCAAGCCATGCTGTGATGGTAACCCGCATGCAAAATAGAGGAATATTGGTACAGATGTTAGCTCAGGGTGAATCTTCCTCAAGGAAAAAGAGGGAAATTGGCAACAGATGTTAGCTCAGGGCCAGTCTTCCTCAACAACAACAGAAAGAATGTGTATTCTACTGTTGTTAAGAGGTATGTTCTATAGACTTCAACTAGGTCAGTTGATTGATAGTATTGTTCAAGTATTCTGTGTCCTAGATAATTTTCTGTCTACTTGTTCTGTCAAATATCGAGAGAGGTCAACTATAATTGCAGATTTGCCTGTTTCTCCCTGCCGTTCTATTAGATTTGGCTTCATATATTTTGAAGCTCTGTTAATAAATGTATAAACATTTAGCATTCTTATATCCCCTGGGTGAATTTACCCTAACCGTTATGAAATGATCATTTTTATCTCTAGATATGTTCTTTGATTTGATATCTATTTTGTCTGATGTTAATATAGCCACTTCAGTTTTCATTTGGATTAGTGTTACCATGTATGCCTTTTCCCATTCTTTTATTTATAACCTATTTGTATCTTTATATTTAAAGAGCATTTCTTGTAGGTAGCACGTGACTAACTTTTTTTGGGTACAATCTCACAATCTGCCTTTTAATTGGGATGTTTAGGTCATTTACATTTAATATAATTATTGATATGATTGGGTTTAAGACTACCTTGTTATTTGTTTTTTATATTGTCATCTGCTATTTGTTTCCCTTTTTTGCCTTCTTTTGTATTAATTATTTCTTTATGATTCACTTTATCTTACCTGTTGGCTTATTAGTATAACTGTTTGTTTTATTATTTTAGTTGTTGTGTAATAGTATATAGTATACAATTTAACTTACTGCAAACTACCTTTAAGAGATTTTATTTGATTTTATAAATAGAATAAGGACCTTAAGATAGTATACTTTTATTTTATCTTAAAGATTGGCACCTAAGCTAACTGTTGCCAATCTTTTTTTTTTTTCCTGCTTTTTCTACCCCAACCCCCCCAGTACATAGCTGTGTATTTTAGTTGTGGATCCTTCTAGTTGTGGCATGTGGGATGCTGCCTCAGCATGGACTGATGAGTGGTGTCATGTCTGCACCCAGGATCTGAATCAGTGAAGCCCTGGGCTGCTGAGGCAGAGCACACAAACCCAACCACTTGGCCATGGAGCCGGCCCTGAGAGAGTATACTTCGACTTCTCTCCTCCTGACCTTTGTGCTATTGTTATTATACTTTTGATTCTTATGTGTGTTTTTAACCTCATAGTACATGGTTATTATTTTTGTTTAAACAGTAAATTGTCTTATAAAGAAATTTAAATAAGAAAAAAAAATCATGTATATTTATCCATGGAGCTGCTGCTTCCATTGTTTTTCATTCCTTTGTGTAGATGTGTATTTCCATTTAGTATCATTTTCCTTCTGCCTAAAGGAGTTCCTTTAGCATTTTTTTGTAATGTGGGTCTGCTGGTAGTGATTTCTTTCAATTTTTGTATGTCTGAACAAGTCTTTTTATCACTATTGTTTTTTAATTTTTTTTTTGCTAGGTGTAGAATTCAAGGTTAATAGTTTTTTCTTTCATTAATTTAAAGATGTTGCTCTACTATTTTCTTGCTTGCATTTTTCTCTGATAAGAAATCTTTCATCATTATCTATATTTTGGATATATGTAGCACGTCTGTTTTTTTTTCCCTAGCTGCATTTAAGATTTTCCCTTTATCACTGGTTTTGAATAACTTGATTATTATGTGCCTTGGTGTAATTTTCTTCATGTTTCTTTTGCTTGGAGTTTGTTGAGCTTCTTGGATCTGTGGGTTTACTGCTTTTATCAAGTTTGAAATGTTTTGCCTTTATTTCTTCAAATGTTCTTTCTTCTTCTTCCTTTGCAGGCTTCAGGTACATGTAAATGGGTCCCTTGTAATTGTCGTGCAGTTCACTGATAGTCTTTTTCTTTTTCAAAATTTTTTTTCTCTGTGCATCATTTTAGGAAGTTTCTATTGTTATTTCTACAAGTTTACCAATCTCATACAGTGTATTTTTATCTAAGACATTATAGTTCTTATCTCTTAAAGTTTTATTATACTGCTACATAATTTGTTAACATATTGAATGCATTTATAATGACTGATAAAATGTCCATATCTGCTAATTCTAACATCTGCATCAGTTCTGAGTCTGTTTCAATGGACTTTTCCCCTTGTCTTGTCATATTTTCCTTCTTTGCATGTCTGTTAATCTTTGATTGAATGCCAGACATTGTGAATTTTACCCTCCTGGGTGCTGGGTATTTTTGTATTCCTAAAAATATTCTTTTTTTTTTTTCTGAGGAAGATTAGCCCTGAGCTAACTACTGCCAGTCCTCCTCTTTTTGCTGAGGAAGCCTGGCCCTGAGCTAACATCCATGCCCATCTTCCTCTACTTTATATGTGGGACGCCTACCACAGCATGGTGTGCCAAACAGTGCCATGTCTGCACCTGGGATCCAAACTGGCGAACGCAGGGCCACCGAGAAGCAGAACGTGTGCACTCAACCACTGTGCCACCGGGCTGGCCCCACTAAAAATATTCTTGAGCTTTCTTCTGGGATGCTGCTAAGTAATGTGAAAACAGCATCTTTTTAGTCTCTCTTTTAAGATTCTGTTAGTCAGAGCTAGAATAGCATTTACTCTGGGGTTAATTACTCCCTATTGTTAAGTCAAGGCTCTCTGATTTTATCCTTGCCGCAAGAATTAGATTTTCTAGTCTGGTTTGTGGGAAAAGGCACTATTCCTAGCCCAGTATGAGCCCTGGGAACTGCTTGCTTTAATCCTTTCAGATGGTTCTTCCTCCAACATCAAGTATTTTCTTCACTTACACTGTGGTCAGTACTCTGCTGAGTACTTGAGGGAGATCCTCTGAAGGTCTCTGGAGTTTCTCTCTGTGTATCACTTTCCTCTCTAGTACTGTGCTCCGTGAACTCTAGCTACCTTGACCTCCATGGATTCTCAGCTCTGTATCCTCATACATACTCAAGGAGTCTACCAAGTTACATCTGACTTTCCTTGCCCTGTGCCACTACCTGATATCTCCCTCAAGACAGTAACCTAAAATAATCATGGAATTCACCTTATTATTATTATTATTATTTTTACTATCTCTCATGAATCACTATCCTTTGTTGCCTGAGGTCCAGTGTCTTGAAAACTGTTGTGTCATATATTTTATCCAGTTTTTTGTTTTTTGTTTTCAGTCAGGATGGTAAATCTGCTCCTTGTTACTCCATCTTGTTCAGAACAGTTTATCTTATTTCTTACTCATCACTCTCTGCTATAGAAATTTTTTAGCGAGTGTTTTTGTCTTTTCAATTATATTGTCTATACCAGAAGACAATGTTCCAGGTCAATTCTGAAAAATGCAGAGGAAAGTAGAACTTTCCCTCTTATAATCTATTCTTGATATTCCCATGAGTGCACACGAGAATACACTCCTCGCCATAAGTCTCGTTATACTGTGGGCTGTCGATGTGCATGCAAAGAAGTAAAATATCCAAATATTCCTTACTTATGTAGCTGTCAGCTCTGCTCCCTATCTCGTGTTTGTGCTTCCTATCTTATTTACAGTTCTATTTCTAGTTGCCAGATTTTAATTTATTTTTTACATTGAATTTCACTTGGTTAGATTTCAGCCAGGACTCACTCATTTGCAGCAGAACAGATTTTAGGAGGTACCTAGAATCAAGGGATGGAAGAAGGTGTAGAGAGAAAATCATATTCTTAGGAACAGGCCTTATGAAAGATCAATCAAGCTGATGATATAGAGGGAACATATGATGGTTATAATTGGGAAAAAGAAAAAAAAAAGAAAAAGAAAAGTGAAACAAAAGCCTTCAACTGGTAGAGACTTAGCTGATGTGGGCATTCAAATAGCTAAAGGAATACCTCACTTTTGGTATGGTTTGTGGAACTGGGATGTACTAGTCTGCAGGGTTTGAAATTAAGAGTCCTTGGGCTAAAAGTGAAGTGATGAAAAAGAATTGCTAGAAAGAACCACTGATGTTTTGAATCTGTGCCAGGAAGACTGCATAAATGTGAAGACTGGAGTTGAGTTTTTTCCCATTTTATCTGTGATGATTATCTCAGTGTTATTCAACTGAACTAAAATTTATTTGTATATTTGAAGTTACTGTTTATGATGGTTGGCAGAGGACAAAATTAGAGAAATGTGTTACATTGGTAAAGAGGGATGGAGAAAGGATAGTATCCAGGTCTACGGTCTTAATGGGAGCAGTGTCATTCTTTCCATTAATCTGCTCAATATTAATGCAAAGTTGATCCATGAGCAAGGAGTTTAAAGTTGGGACTCACCTAAGTGGCAGATGAGGGTCTTTATTAAGGTTGTTTGGTGATTTGGAGGCAAGCCTTTTACCCCTTTGGGAGAGGGAGGTCACTTTTGATTGTAGCTCCGTCTGAGAAAGCCAGGATGAGGCAGTGAAGGTGGATGAAGTGCTCCAGGTTCCAGCAGAGACCAGAGTACTGTTTTAAGAAAAAAAGGATTTCTTTCTGTCCTCAGATGTTGTCTCATTCCTTTTCATTTTTTTTGGCTTTTTAATTACTTCTTGTAATTTTTATGTCTTCATTTCTGTGCCCAATATTTTTAATACTTTATGTCTCTTTATTTTCCCTTTGTCTTTTCTTTTTCATTTTTTAAAAAAATGTTCCATTACCTGTGGTGTCCATCTCCTTCTAATAACATTCTACTTGCCACCCTTGCAGGCAATGTCTTTATTGGAGCAAAGAGGATTTTTGGACAGGCAGAAGGAGAAGAGGAAATAGGCCATGAAAATATCTGCTTTTTCTGCAGCAACCAACATGTACCACATGAAATGGGGAGACATCTCAGTGGTGGTTGGTTAGGCCTCATCATGATGGGGTTGTTGAAAAGAATAGTAAACAGGAGGTGGAAGAAAAAAAGCTGTGCCTGCTGCAGAGTAGTTTCCCTTTCTTACTCATGCAGCAGAAATATGAGACCACAATTGATAATTCGGTGACCTTATATTTTGAGTCATGGTCTCCCTCATCTTTGGGAAATTTCCTTCCCACATGCCCACAGCAAATTTCTCCCACCCTTCTCTGTAGGCAAAGGCAGATGCAAGTGGCAAAAACATGATATCCTCAACCAAAACAGAATTTTAATTTAACAAACATCTATTGAGCACTTGCTACACACAAGACAGCGTAAGAAATGGTTGAATTGAAAGTTGCACAAGCCGTGGTCTTTAATTTTCAGGAGCTACAATCCAGATAAGCACAAAAAAGCCATAGTGAAGATGGCAAAAAGATAAAAAGATAAAAAAGATAAAAATAAAAATAAAGATCATGAGAGGAATAAAGTACAGTGGGAACTAGAGAGTTGAGAGGCCATTTCTTGCTATGCGATGCAGGGAGGCTTCACGGAGGACCTGAAATTTCATCTGGATTCTAAATAGTGACAAAGATTGAGGAGGAGAATGTTATGTAAAAGCATAGCGATAGGAAAATGCAGAAGACATTTGCAAAACAACTGGTGGGAAGATGATGGAATTGAAAGAAAATTTCAGGTGAGAGTATGAAACATGGTGGGATCCACATGAAGCAGGCTGGACTTTGTTCTGTAGGCAAAAGGCAACCAATGGACTTTAATAGTCATGATGGTGCGACATAATTTTGCATATGGATAGCTACATTGGTGGCTGAGTAATGATGGACTAGGGAAAGTAGAGGCAGGGAGACCAATCAGGAAAGAGGAAAAGGAATGACAGCCAATTCTGAGCAAGAGGGAAGCTAGATGAGCTGACTTAGAGTCCTGGACTTACAAGCCATGACTGGGGCAAGTTTCCTACTTTCTCTACGCTTCAGTTTCCTCCTCGGTAAATCAAGGATTAGAATAGTAGTTGTTTCATAGAGTTGTAAAGATTAAATGAATTAATATGTGTAAAGCCCTCGGATCTGTGTCTGGCAAATAGTACACAGAGAATAGTGTTATGTATTACTACTAGAGCATTGGTAAGAAGAGACGATAAGGAGTGGATTTGAAAATTATTGTACTATATAATTATGTCATTATTTATATTGGAGTTATTTTCAGCTATTTGCCTATTAGACATAATTCTGTCATTTAGTAAGCAAAGCAAGAATTCAAGTTGTTACTATAGCACTTATTACATCTTATTTATTTCTTGTGACTAATTTCTTCTACAATATGTCTCAGACTTTGAAATAACATATGAGTTGCCCCTAACATACGGGAGTTTTAAAAAGGAGCTTGAAAATACAGTAGGGCCATTTGAGCTATGTGGTCCGAGTTATTGTAACTGATGTTTCATCATCTCTATCTATCTATCTATCATCTATCTTAAATATATTTATTTATTTGTGCTTTCTTACATTGCATCTAACCTATGAGAAGTTAAAGATCCTGAGATCTTTTGCAGATAGAATCATGTAAAGTTCATAACCTTTTTGAGGCAAAGAAAGCTACATTGACTACAGTTTAGAGTGATGGTCACACCAATCCCTGCCTTGCTTTTCTTTCTTCCCTGCTGCTCGACCTCCACCCCTTAAATCATTGCTACAGAGCTGGGGGAGCGCCTCTCCTGGAGGTGTCAGCAAGAAGCAGTGAGAGGGGCTGGAGCAGGCCATCTCTAGCTGCCCTGCAGGCTGCTTTACGTTTCCCCCCACCCTCACCCCCACCCCCACCCCAGGACTTTGGGAAGAAGACAAAGAGAAAAGAGGCTGGCGAGAGAAACAGAGGCAGCTCTCTCTGTTCAGGACTAGGAAAGAGGAAAATAGGGGAGATGAGCAATTCTCCCTACTGCTTCCTGTGCAATCTGAAGTGGGCTTATCTACAGTCTAGACCACACTGAAAATGTGAAGGTCACGATAGCAGAGACATTTGCAGTCAACGTCTAACTGTAAAATGCTTATCTTGATCAACTTTGGGCTTTAATAATAATCCAGGACTTGAGAAAGGAACCATAAGTAACTGTCAGTGGGATGGCAGCCTAGCCAAAGCATCTCTAAGGGAAGAACAGGAACGTGGGGTTCTCTTGTGGCTCCTGTCTCCTCAGCTCTTTCTCTGGGCACCTTTGGCCTTCCTGTTTCAGGGGCCCTACTCAGCATGGACACCTGCTGTCTCCTTTCCCGCCTCTGACAGATGGTGAGAAGGAAACAGCAGAGACCTGGCTGAGAGCTCATCCTGAACACGTTCTTGACTCAAGTGAGTCAAGGGCAGAGGCAAAGTAATTATGGGATTTCAGCCGTGCCTCTGATGCTGCCTTCTCCACTCTGCTGAGGGGGGATGGTCCAGCATTGGAAAGAGATTAACTCACAGGTGGCCTTTAAAAGTAAATGTAGAAGAATATTTACTGGCAGGAAAATTTGTTCATGAAATGCTGTTAAGTGCAAAAGCAGGTAGCAAACATTGTGTACAGTATGAGCTCTACTTGTGAGCCAAACCAAATTAACCATACACATCACACGCGTGCATCAGAAGGCTTAACCACGTTTAACCATAGCCACCTCTGGTGGGGAGGAAATATGGGTTTAGCTATATATGTATAAATGTGTGTGTGTCTGTGTGTATTTACCTTTTTCTTTCCTATCAATGAGTCATTTTTCGTTTTCAAAATAAGAAAGACAGTAGCCCCAGATTCTGCAGCAGCTAAGTGGTGAAGCCTCCACAGATATCCCTTAGAAGCTGGCTCATATAAATGTGACGCTGTCTGGGAAATAATGTACTCCTCATTTCCCTTTGCTTTCTGTTTGTAGTCTCTTCATTTTTTGCACAGAAAGCACAGAGTACCAACCCTCTCCTTCTCTGACAAGGATCTTGGAGTGTAGGTGACTGAACAATCCAGAAAAGGAGAGGTTGAGGAGACCCCCTCCCATACTTCCATGCACCAATCAGTTTCCTGCACAAACCACCCCCAGCTTCCAGCCAACATCCCCTTAGCAGGAAGAGACAAATGGCTGAAACCTTACCACTTGGAGAAGTATCCTATTCCCTGCCAAGGGGCCCATAATTTCCTCGGACGGGCCGAGGGGGTGGAGGGGTGCATGCTGGAAGGATCTGTCCTTCTTGTGTGTCATGTACTGTCCCAACCACTTTCAAGCAATAATGTCAGAGTCCGGTCAGCTTCCAGGCTTTTCCCTTCCTTGGCTTTCTGTGACCAAGGGCCTGTGTACCTTCTGTGATAACTTTTTCTTTGCAAGGCTGATGTTTACACTGACGAAAAAGTTAACAGTTACACTTACACAAGAGAAGGTGAGGAAACTTGGGGCTGGTTCCCGTGTTTGCTCATCAACTGACATTATTTGAGCTCCTTCTGAAGAAGGAAAGGAGCAGGAGGCTGCAGCATGATTTAAACAACAGTGATGAGGCGCTGGTGGAAGTCAGAAAATGCTAAGTGGGGTGGAGTGAAGTGTGGGAAACTCTCTTTAGAAGTTCACTGATTATCCATTGGTAAAATGATAGAAGCCTATTTTTCCCCCTGGCAAGGCCCCCTTTATTCACAATCTGGATGTGAAAAGTCAGAAATCCTGCTTACCTGCCCTTTACACTGTGCTAATTGTGTGAGGTGCCGTCCTTGGAGTGTGGCCACCGGTCTCCTCTCTGTGGGCCTTGTTGTGGAGCAAGTGCCCAGTCCCATTCTGTGTCCTTTAAGGAGGTTGCGGGGAGCACACAGTGAATTCTTTCATCCTCACTGTTGAGGAGGTATAGGCTCTTGTCTTTCGGTATCCTCTTCCTCAAGTCCTGCACCAGCAGGGTTCCTCCCCCGCCCAGTATCCCTAGGAGGTGCATTTCCATGTCAAAGCGCTCTCTGGAGAGAAGGCCTCTTTTTCCTCCACTCCCTGCTTTGTTGGAGTCCTGACTCACTTTAACTCACTCCTTCCCAGCCCTGTTCCAAGTTAGCAGTAGCAGGGAGCAGAACTTATTTAGAAACCAACACCACAGGAAAAACCAGCTTCTTTCTGTGAAGGATAAGAGAAGTGTAATTGCCCTTGAAGATGTCAACTTGTTGTAAGAAAGATTACTTCTCTTGCAGTAAACAGAGAAGTAAGAATCATTCTTTAGTGAAGTTGTAGGTTTTCCTTAAGACAAATGCAAGTGCTAAGACTGTTAGACACAGCTAGGTAAATCCACGGGCTAATTTAGAAGGATTTATAAAGGGGAGTGAGCATGGTTCAGTTTGTATCTACAGACTGTGTCTTGATCCTGTAGAATAGCGGGTAAGGCAGAAGACACGAAGAAGGTTCTTCACGTTCCCACCCTGCTCCTGCTCATCTAAGGCTGTGGACTTGGAAGCTCAAACTGCTCTAGTTTCTGGCAGGTCTGGGGAATCCAAATCCATGTGTGTGCCCTGTTGCTGCCAAGACTAAAAGATGCTTGTGGCAGGAATGCTCTTGGAGGAGTAGTTTTCCAGTTTCAGCCAGTCCTGTTTAGACCCAAGTAAGATAGTGTCCTGAGGCCATCTAAAGTACCGAAAGCCTCCTGCATGGACCGCCCACCCTGGAGGGGCTCAGGCTTCTTAGCTCTTCTCTGACACCAGATGGGAGACCCCATCAGCTTGGAGGAGTGCTGTTGGCCCCCTGGGTCCCCACACTAAAAGGTGGTGTTAGAGCCAGAGGAAAAGTCAGGTCTTGTGGCTCCTGTTTATTTCTGCTGCCCCAGAACTTGCCCTCTCCCCTTCTACACTAGACTTGAGTCATGCTGAAACACTGGGAGTTCTTGAACAGGTCTGCTCTTTTCTTTCCCTAGATATTTCACAAAATGTCCCTTATCTTCCCCTCTTTCCTTCTGGCTAACTTCCCCTTGGCTGACTCTTCCATCCAACTGACTCCTGAGTCTTCGAAAACTGTTAGGTCTTCTCCCTACAGAATGTCACGACTGGCAGGAGGAGCAAATAAAACAATCATAGGGACGAAATAACACATTCAGGAAACCTTCCAATTCCTTGCCTCTTAAGTCCCTTTTTTAATGTGGTGCTTGGAAACACTAATGACCTCTTATTTTATTCTTGAAAAAGTTGACTCATGTCTCTCTGAAACCAAAACAAGAATCTAGGCCTAAAAGTAATGAGTCTATACTAGTAGGACTTTTATGTGCTCCATATGTAAGCTAGTTACAGAAAAGGAGGAAGTGATTCTCACTGGAAAGGCCAATATAGGACATTTTTTTCCAAAGATACCTAGGATGTAAACAGAAGTATACAAAACCTTGCTTTTAAGATAGTGTGCAGTCTAGCAGTGGGATATGGCACTTATATTTATTTTCTATTACTGGGTAACAAATTAGCCGCAAATTTAACAGCTTAAAACATCACCCATTTGTCAGCTCCCAGTTCCGCAATTCAGCAGTCTGGGCTGGGCTCAGTAGTTTTCTGCTCAGAGTCTCACACTCAAGGTGTGGGCTGAGCTGAGCTCTTATCTGGAGGCTGGGAGTCCCCTTCCCAGCTCACTCAGGTCCAGGCTGTTGTAGGGCCAAAGTCCGTTTTCTTGCTGGCTGCCAGGGACTGTTCTCAGCTTGCAGAGGCCACTCTCAGGTCCTCGCCATGTGCCATCCTCCATCTTCAAAGCCAGCACCAGAGAATCCCCCTTGGGTCAAATCCTTCTCAGCTTTCAAATCTCTTTCATCAGTAAAAGCCATTTTATGGTCTCCCTGATGAGGTTAGATTAGGTCAACTGTGACATAGGATATGACCTAAGCATGGAAACGATATCCCACCATATTCACAGGTCCTTCCCACACTCAAAGGAAGTGGGATGTGGGTCATTTTAGCATTCTGCCTACCTCAGTACTCAATGGATAAGGCAGAATAAGATCAATTAAAAAGATATAAAATGTTTCAGAGTAGTGGAGAGAGAAACTTACTGTATGTGCTTAGCATATGGGAGATGTTCAATCAGTATTTGTTAATATGTGGGAAATATATATATTCTGAGAGCACAATAATGTATTGAACTGTTTTAATCAGAATAAACTAAATTAGTCAAATAAGAAAATACTTTTGACTCACAATTTGGGTAGTTTGATCGTCAAGTTTCTGGGTAGGGGGACTTGAACTCCAGAAGGCAGCATCAAGGGAGGACTGGGGTAGGTAAAGATGCTTCATACATCTAGGGGTTTTGAGCCATTCTTGGGGGAGGAGCAAGAAGATCTGAATTACGGGGAAAGTCCAGGCAGGAACCACAGTAGGTAGCTAGGATCAAAAGCAAGACCTTAAGCTCAGGTATAAGCTGCCCAATGTTTTTTTTTTTTTTTATTCACTGAGATGCTTGAAAGAGTCTTGTTACACAAATGGGTTACTAAATTTCCATTCAATATATCATTCCCTTTGAAAGAGTGGATGAGCTTCCCAAGTAATGTGCTAATAACTGGCAGCTAATGAGATAGACTTGCTTGGACTGGTGTTTGACACCCAGTCACGTTGGCAGCATCTGCCAGTGTCTTCTAGGAGACTGAACTGTGGTCGTTGAAAGTGCTTCTCTGGAATTACTCAATAAAAACAACAATAGAGGTGCTTCCTGGTTACATAACTCCCTCATTTGAAGCAATTTCAGAACTTTAGAGACAGATCTGTTTAGAGCTGTTTCCACCCCTGTTTCAAAAATGGAAACAAGCTGAGGCATTCTGAAGGAAATGGACTTGCCCAAGGTCTTAGTGAATCCGTTGAAGCATAGGAAAGTTAATGCAATATCCCCAAATAGTTTTTAAATTTCTTAAGTGGAGATAATGAAGCCATGTTCATACTCTAAATTGATGCCTGCAATTCTAAGTTGGATATTCATTTTATACATTTTATTAAAAATTCTGTCATTGATTTCAAAATTCTCTAGTCCTGAAATCTTTGCATCCGTGCCCTATATGGAAAATCTGTATATTTTATAAAGCAGTTTAGTTGTTGAAGATTCGGATGAAGCATGACTTACTGAGGATGGACATTTGGAGATTTTAGGTTTAAACATTTTTATTTAATTGTTAGATATACAATTGAATTATTTGACTGGAGTGACCAGTCTGATTATTTCAATGTTATGCAAGAAGTGTTACAAACATTCTCTGAAGTTCTTGGGAAAGAATGTTCAAGACATTTCACTTCTTATAGAAAGTCCAGGCCTAAGCACTCCAGAGCAGGTTTAGAAACCCTTGGCCACTGCTTACCACATTCCTAGCTATTAAGGGAGAAGTCAGAGAGGCACATACATAGAGAGGGATGGCTTACATAACCGAAGGAAATGCAAGCGTAGTCCTAGTAAAATTCCGGTTCGCTGTGGTTGAAGGTCTAATCAAGAGTAAGAAAGGTTACACTTGCTACGAAAGAGTAAAGGAGGAGTGTCAGGAAAGACGGAGAAGTCCATAGCCTGTTTCTGCTAACACAAGAGGTCCACAAAGTGTTTCTCATTCTAAGGTGATGGCTGATTTCCGGTTGGAATGTTACTTATGTAGACACTCGGAAATGCTTAGTAAGGCGAATTCCGTCACACAGGAATACAACAGGATTGTATTTTGGGAACAAGGTCATAAAAACTGACTACAAGTGACATGGATACTGGATGTTTGTGAGGTAGGTTCTTAAACTGTGAGTTTGCATGTTTTTATAACAAATTACTGTTAAACTGGAACATTTAGAGCACTTTAAAATGGTGAGTTTTAAATTAGGAAACAACAGCAAAGTATCTAGAGGGACAGAATATGCCAAAGGAAACCCACAAACCACAAGCAAAGACATTGTTACCATGTGGACTGACCACGACAGAATGCTTACTCCCTTTCCCCTCACAAGGGCTGTTTCAGCTTAACACTAAATATTGACATAAAAAAAAATTCAAGGCTGTAAAAATGTATCTGCTGTCTCTTCCTAGTTTTTGTTTTTCTTCCTCATCTGCTGTAATTCTATGTGAGAAAAGAGAACTAAATGTGACCCCAATTATTGAAAATCGGAGTCTAGCATCTGAGTAAAGACTACCTATTAAAGGATGGTGCTAAAGCCTGAGCGCTTTTGCTATCTTTTTGGTGCTGTCACGAGGAGCAAGACTTATTGAAAGACTACAAACCTAACCAAACATGTCTCTCCTCTCAGGAAATTAAATGCATCTCTGGGAGCATTGAAGGTCAGTATCACACTTAGTAGAGGCATTGGCACTGTGCTGGCATCTTGCCAGGCTTTTAAGCCTGTTGGTGGGGGAAGGAGTTGAGCAGCGGGGAAATATTCAAACCCATGTGCGCTTCTCTTTTATCACCGTCATCGTCTACCATGTATGTAATGGTTGGGTGAATAAAGTGAGGACCTTGTTCTGTCTTGACGGTTACAAGTTCCAGAGACAGTATCCTAGAACCAACAAGCGTCTAAAATTTAGTCTCCATCTCCTCAATGTTCTAGAGAATATCTGCAGTACAATTGCTGTCTACGGAAATCTTTGTGAAATTCTCATAAGTGAGAGATGTGTCCCATAATAGGTAGATGTCTGACTTGTACCAAATGTACACTTGGTGTGGAATACTTTTCTTCCAGATTTACATGTGGCTATTTCTTTCTTGTTCTGTAGGTTTTAGTTTATATGTCACCACCTCAGAGAGGACTTTTCTGACCACCCTACCCAGCCACTGCGTAAGACATGTTTTATTTTGATCAGAGCACTTGCCCCTGCCTGCTATTCTTTCTTTTATTTTGTGTTTGGTTTGCGGTCTGACTCCCTGCCTCTTACTTGAAAATGAGGTCCGTGGAAGTGGGAACCTCGTCTTTCTGGTTCATT